AAATTAAGCCAACCAGCCACATTCAGACATCAGGCTGAGCCCTGATTTAGGTAAATAATACATAGAGCCAGATTGGGTCGAGTGGTTAAGGCACCAGGATAGACACCAGGCGCCAGTGAGTTCTAGTCCCGCCTTAGGCAGAGAAACTGACTGGGTGACTTTGGGCCAATCACCAGCAGACGGTGAGTTCTAGTCCCACTTTAGGCACAAAAGCCAGCTGGGTGTCTTTGAGCCAATCACCAGGAGATGGTGAGTTCTAGTCCCGCTTTAGGCACAAAAGCCAGCTGGGTTACACTGGGCCAGTCACCAGCAGACGGTGAGTTCTAGTCCCGCTTTAGGCACAAAAGCCAGCTGGCTGACTTTGGGCCAATCACCAGGAGATGGTGAGTTCTAGTTACACCTTAGGTACAAAAACCAGCTGGGTTACATTGGACCAATCACCAGGAGACAGTGAGTTCTAGTTACACCTTAGGCACAAAAACCAGCTGGGTGACTTTGGGCCAGTCACCAGATGATGAGTTCTAGTCCCGCTTTAGTCACAAAAACTGGCTGAGTGACTTTGGGCCAATCACCAGGAGATGGTGAGTTCTAGTTCTAGCTTTAGGCATGAAAGCTGGCTGGGTGATTTTGGGGCCAGTCGCCAGGAGACGGTGAGTTCTAGTTCTAGCTTTAGGCACAAAAGCCTGCACTGTGACTTTGGGACAGTCCCTTTCCCGCAACCCAACTCACCTACACGGTTCTTGTGGAGGGAAAAACAGAATCACATCTGCTGGTTCCTAGCCTGGTGACATCACACCAATAATGCTTCATTTCTAGCATTACTGGATTTCAAAAAAGCCAGAAGAGAAATCGCTAAGAAGGAAAAGATTTAGGCTAGTGGTTCGCAACCTGTGGGTCGGGACCCCATTTGGGGTCGAACGACCATTTCACGGGGGTCGCCAAACAACGCAGTCCGCCATTTTTCCCCCCTTTTCCTTAGCTGTGCTCCTCCCTTTTATTCTATTGGCTTTTGAAAGCCAATAGGATAGACTCTCTTGAATAGAGTCTAATTTTATTGGCTTTCAAAAGCCAATAGGAATTGTCCAGGCTGTCTCTGCCCTGCTGAGCCCGCCAAAGGTCCCATTCTGCAAACGGTGCTGCACCAGTTGAGTAATCCTTGACTTACGACCGGTTGAGTAGTCCTCGACTTACGACCGGTTGGGGGTCGCGGCATTAAAAAGGTTGAGAACCACTGATTTAGGCGAATCTTCAGTGAGCTCCGAGTTCAGAGTCAGCCTTTTCCATAAGGAACTGGGAAGTCGCTGAATTGTCTGTCTTAGCAGGGAAAGAGCGCCCTCTGCTGGATCTTTTTTAAAAAAATTATTATTTTAGACCAACAAAACAAAATACAACCAACATTACACATACACACGTAATATATCCTTTTTTGTTAACAGCAGTTTGTAACAGTACTCTTCTATTCTTTACATTTCCCCCCTCTTTCTTCTTTGAAATATTTGTCCTTATTGCCCCGTTGTTTCTTATTTACATTTTCCTTCTTTCATATTCTACTACTTACTAGGAATCCAACATTATTCATTGTAGTAACACTCATATTTTTTATAAGACTCGACCGGAATTCCTTCTCAGCATGGTGATCATACAAATATTCTCATATTATTTAGTGCATATACTGTTTTTACTCTAATACTGTTTCCAACCTTAAAAATTCACCCCTTTTCATCCAAGTATATTTATTTAATTTTATTTTTCTTTGACATATGTAATAATTCCTCCTTTCTGGATCTTTTTTGTCCAGAAAGGGATTTCTTTCACTCCTGCTTCCCCCGTCCCCTCCCACCCCCTTTTCTAGGACTGGACTCCCATCAAATTCAACCATTGGGGGGGGGCTTCCAAAGAAAATCCACACGAGGCACCGTGATTAAAACCCAGAACCCTGGATCTTCTCTCTCATTCAACTGACCTGCTTTTACAACCCTTTTTTCCCCCGCTTACTGACGAATAGCGGTCAGTGTTGCCACGGGTCCAAAGGGTGCTCGGCTGACTGTCAGGGGCTGTCGGAAGTTTGAATTCAGACTGTTAAGTGACCCCCAGGGACGTCCATCGTAACTTTGAGCAGTCGCTAAGCAACTGGTCGTAAGCATGAGGACTAACTATATTATGGCGGGGGGAGGGGGGACCCACGTGCTGTACCTCTAAACCTCCCATCTCATTTTTCATGCCGTTGCAGATAGTCCTCCATTTACAACAGTTCACTTAGTGACTGTTCGAAATCGGTGAACTGGTGTAAGGAAAACAGCCTAGTTTTAAATACCGGAGAAATCAAAGAGATCATTGTCGATTTTAAAAAAGGCAGGCACAGCCACAAATAATAATAATAATAATAATAATAATAATAATAATAATAATAATAATAATAATAATAATAATAATTTGAACATCTGGCTGACTGTGCGATGATTTATTATTATTATTATTATTATTATTATTATTATTATTATTATTATTATTATTAGGACTCGATAGGTAGACAAAATGCCAAATCCAGTCTGAACATCTGGCTAACTGTGCGATGATCCATAATAATAATACTTGAACACCATTGGCATTGACAAATTTGCCATTAGTCAATTGCAAAAGGCGGCCTTGCTAGGAACTGCTTCCATCTTGTGACAATATCTGTAATACCATCAAACATCCACATCTGCCTATCCCAGGTCCTGGGTAAGGACTCGATAGGTAGACAAAATGCCAAATCCAGTCTGAACATCTGGCTGACTGTGCGATGATCCATAATAATAATAATAATAATAATGATGATGATGATGATGATGTTGAAACAGATCTTGGAGGTCATCTAGTCCAACCCCCTGCTCAGACAGGAAACCATATACCATTTCAGACAAATGGCTAATTTCCAGTGTTGGAGCATTCACAGCTTCTGAAGGCAGGTTGTTCCACGGATTAATTATTCAAACTCTCAGGAAGTTTCTCCTTAGTTCCAGGTTGCTTCTCTCCTTGATGAGTTTCCATCCGTTGCTTCTTATCCTGCTTTCAGGCGCTATGGAGAATAGCTTGACTCCCTCTTCTTTGGGGCAGCCCCTGAGATATTGGAACACTGCTATCCTGTCACCCCTCATCCTTCTCTTCATTAGACTAGACATACCCAATTCCAGCAACTTCTCTGTGCATTAATGATTCACCTGTGGAGATGGTTACCAGCATCAAATTCCTGGGTCTGCAGTTAAAAAGTAGGCTGGCTTGGTCGCTCAACAGGGAGACCCTGGTGAAGCGGGCAGAGCAATGCCTGCCTTTTCTGCATCGCATGAGAAAAGCACATCTTCCTTCCCCTGTCCTGACCACTTTCTGCAGGGGAACGATCGAGAGCATCCTGTCATACAGCATCACAGTCTGGTTTGGAAGCATCCCTGCTTCGGACAGGAAGGCCGTGCAGAGAGTGGTGAGGACAGCAAAAAAGATCATTGGTAGTTCCCTCCCTTCCAGCCAGGACATGGCCTATAAGCGATGCTTGAGCAGGGTCTGCAGGATTGTCAGGACACCACACATCCTCTTCACACATCCTTGTTCTCTTCTGGGAGGGGCGGGCTTTGTGGTACCCGAAGCAGAATATCCAGAATCAGTCACAGCTTTGTTCCATACAGCATTAACTTTGTGAATTCTCAAGCTTCCTCCTTCCGTTATGTATTCAAGATGGACAGTGATTAATATTTATATCTTACTTATATGTAAGGGTGTAGGTCTATCTATAATGTTTAAACGTGTGTTATGTATGTGTACACTTTTGAGAGCAAGCAACTAAACTTCATTTTTAATGCGTGACGTTGTGCCCACGGGGGAAAAAAATGACAATAAAGGTTATCTACTCCAGGGCTTTTCAACCTTTTCACTCATTGTACCACTTTTAGGATAAGGCAATATCAGAGGACCACCAGTCGCCTAGCAAAGTGTCAAAAACTTGATGATCCCCCCCCCCCAAAAGGAAAAAAACGATAAACTACAAGTAGTCCTCGATTTACAACAATTCGCTTAGTGACTGTTCGAAGTTACAACGGCACTGGGAAAAGTGACATAGGACCATTTTTCACACTTATGACTGTTGCAGCATCCCCAGGGTCACGTGATTTACATTCGGAGGCTTGGCACAGTGTCCCAGAGGCATGTGATCACCTTTTGCAACTTTTTGACAAGTGAAGTCAATCAGCGGGGGGGGGGGGGAAGGGGGGGCGTGGCCAGCTCAGGTTGCAGGGCACCTGTGGGGGGTGCAGGTGAGGCTGTGGGGAGGATCTGTGGGTCTCTGGTGGAGGGAGGTGGGACTGAGGTGGGCACCTTCCCTCCCTCCCTCTCATTGTCCCTTCCTTCCTTTCTCTCTCATTATCCCTCCCTTTCTTCCTTCCCTCCTTCTTTGTCCCTTCCTTCCCTCCTTCCTTCCCTCCCTTTGTCCCTTCGTTCCTTCCTTTCTTCCCTCCCTCCTTCTCATTGTCCCTTCCTTCCCTCCCTCTCATTGTCCCTTCCTTCCTTCCTTCTTTGCTTCCCTCCCTCTCATTGTCCCTTCCTTCCTTCCCTCCCTCCCTTTGTCCCTTCCTTCCTTCTTTCCTTCCTTCCTTCCCTCCCTCCCTCTCATTGTCCCTTCCTTCCTTCCTTTCTTCCTTCCTTCCTTCCTTCCCTCCCTCCCTTTGTCCCTTCCTTCCTTCCTTCCTTCCTTCCTTCCTTCCTTCCTTCCTTCCCTCCCTCCCTCCCTCATTGTCCCTTCCTTCCTTCCTTCCTTCCTTCCTTCCTTCCTTCCCTTTCCTTCCTTCCTTCCTTCCTCCTTCCTTCCTTCCTTCCTTCCTTCCCTCCCTCCCTCCCTCCCTCCCTCCCTCCCTCTCATTGTTCCTTCCTTCCTTCCTTCTCCCAACCCTGTGGCTTTCTGATCAGGTTGGGTTGCAACTCCCATCTTCCCCAGCCTGCATGGCCACACAAGGAAGACTAGACAACAGTCGTCGGATACGAGATGGGCAGCATATACATTTTATTAAAAAAAATTAAAAAATAAAGATTATTTACTTGTGAGACCCAATCCCAAATCCCAGCTTAGCCCATCGTTCACAACCAAGCAGTAACCATTTATTTTCACTGTTCACTACAGGGGTCTTTCAAACTCGGCCCTTTTATGACTCCTGGACTTCAACTCCCAGATTCCTCAGCCAGACACGCTGGCTGAGGAATTCTGGGAGTTGGAGTCCACGAGTCATAAAAGGAAGGGCCGAGTTTGAAGACCCGTCTTAAATCTAACAAACAAAATGGAGGCTGGCTGAGGAATTCTGGGAGTTGGAGTCCACGAGTCATAAAAGGGCCGAGTCTGAAGACCCCTGGTTCACTACATAGTGAACACAATATAGGCTGGGCCAGCATTTCTCAGCTTTAGCCACTTGAAGATGGGTGGACTTCAACTCCCAGAAATCCCCAGCTAGCCATCTGCGGTGGCCACTTGAAGGTATGTGGACTTCAACTCCCAGAATCCCTCAGCCATGGCAAAGAGATACAGCAAAGAGATAACAGAACATCCTCAGCGCTCTGCCGCCACCTAGAGGCCATCTGGATTTTGCAATAGCTGGCTGGGGAATTCTGGGAGTTGAAGTCCACCCATCTTCAAGTGACAAAGGTTGAGAGACATGGAGCTGGGCCACTCTATACCCAACAGAGAGATGGTCTGCTAGTCCTCATGGTTGAATGTCGGGCAAAGGAGACCAAGAGCAATCCTTGCGTCCAGCTCGCATCTCCAAGATTCAAAAGGTCCAAGGATGCTCTGGAAGTGGCGGTGGAGGGGGAGGGAAGGGAGGAGAAAGCCTCCACCTATCGCAAGTCGGGGAGAGAAGAGCCCAGGTAAGTCCGCAGGTCGCTGAGGTTCGACCGGATGATTTTAGCCGGGATGGTCTCCTTGTTCAAGCGCTTGTAGGCTGCGTAACGGTGGCACCCTCCAAAAGAATAGAAATAATCTCCTCCTTCTCTGCCTTTGATCCAGAGGACATCAATTGGGGGGACCCGGTCAGGCTCCTCCTAAAAATAAAAAAAGGAGGGAGGGAGAGAAGGAGGGAGGGAGAGAAGGAGGGAGGAAGAGAAGGAGGGAGGGAGGGAGAGAAGGAGGGAAGGAGAGGAGGGAAGTAGAGAAGGAGGGAGGGAGGGAGAGAAGGAGATCAGCTTGAATGAGTGAATCATATGAACCTTGACCCATGGCTCCTAATAATAATAATAATAATAATAATAATAATAATAATAAAAAAACAACTGGAGCACCACTTGAACACCATTGGCATTGACAAATTTGCTATTAGTCAATTGCAAAAGGCGGCCTTACTAGGAACTGCTTCCATCCTGCGACGATATCTGTAATACCATCAAACATCCACATCTTCCTATCCCAGGTCCTGGGTAAGGACTCGATAGGTAGACAAAATGCCAAATCCAGTCTGAACATCTGGCTGACTGTGCGATGATCGATAATAATAATAATAATAATAATAATAATAATAATAATAATAATAATAATAATAAATGATAAAATTAAACTGCTCTGGGACTTCAGAATTCAAACAGACAAGCACCTGCAATATAACACCCCAGACTTAACAATTGTCGATAAGAAAGACAAAAAAGTCTGGATAGTGGACGTGGCAGTGCCTGGAGACAGCAGAACAGACGAGAAAGAACTGGAGAAGATCACAAAATACAAAGACCTACAAATAGAAATAGAAAGACTGTGGCAAAAGCAAGCAAGGGTAGTACCAATAGTAATAAGCTCCTTAGGTGTAATCCCAAAACAACTGGAGCACCACTTGAACACCATTGGCATTGACAAATTCACTATTAGTCAATTGCAAAAGGCGGCCTTACTAGGAACTGCTTCCATCCTGCGACGATATCTGTAATACCATCAAACATCCACATCTGCCTATCCCACGTCCTGGGTAAGGACTCGATAGGTAGACAAAATGCCAAATCCAGTCTGAACATCTGGCTGACTGTGCGATGATCCATAATAATAATAATAATAATAATAATAATAATAATAATAATAATAATAATAATAATGGGAGAGCGTCGTAGCTGCGCACAGGCCTACATGGACAACCAAAGCACATTCCAGAATGCACAGGTGAGAGCGCCACAGCCAGCCACAAGCCCCCCAAGACCGAGTAGGCGACCAGAGGAATCTCAACGACCAGATACGGTGGTCAGCCACAGAGTTGATGTCACGATACCTAGGTCACGAGATCTCCCCACTGTTGCCACCCCATTGAGCCCCATAAAACCACACCTACAACACTGCACGCTTGTGACAACCAAACCCGTTTTGGTAACAACAGTGTTCCAACCGCACCTGGAACATTGTGCGCTTGTGACAACCAAACCTGGCAATGGCTAAGAGCAGGAAAATTGAAGAACGAGACCGAGGGACTAATTCTGGCTCCACAAGACCAAGCCTTAAGGACAAATGCATATAAAGTCAAAATTGAGAAGACAGCAACAGACAGTAAGTGCCGCCTATGCAAAGAAGCTGAAGAAACAGTGGACCACTGGGTAAGCTGTTGCAAGAAGATTGCACAGACTGATTACAAGCAGCGGCATGACAAAGTAGCAACAATGGTGCATTGGAAGATCTGCAAAAATATCATTTGCCTGTAAGCAAAAACTGGTGGGATCATAAAATAGAGAAAGTCATAGAAAATGATAAAATTAAACTGCTCTGGAACTTCAGAATTCAAACAGACAAGCACCTGCAACATAACACCCCAGACTTAACAATTGTCGATAAGAAAGACAAAAAAGTCTGGATAGTGGACGTGGCAGTGCATGGAGATAGCAGAATAGAAGAGAAAGAATTGGAGAAGATAACAAAATACAAAGACCTACAAATAGAAATAGAAAGACTGTGGCAAAAGGATAGTACCAATAGTCATAGGCGCCTTGGGTGCAATCCCAAAACAACTGGAGCACCACTTGAACACCATTGGCACTGACAAATTCGCTATTAGTCAATTGCAAAAGGCGGCCTTACTAGGAAATGCTTCCATCCTGCGACGATATCTGTAATACCATCAAACATCCACATCTGCCTATCCCAGGTCCTGGGTAAGGACTCGATAGGTAGACAAAATGCCAAATCCAGTATGAACATCTGGCTGACTGTGCAATGATCCATAATAATAATAATAATAATAATAATAATAATAATAATAATAATAATAATAATAATAATAATAATAATAATGTTGGAAGGGACCTTGGAGGTCATCTAGTCCAACCCCTACTCAGGCAGGAAACCCAATACCATTTCAGACAAATGGCTGTCCGGTTTCTTCTTAAAGACTTCCAGTGTTGGAGCATTCACTGCCTCTGGAGGCAGGTTGTTAATAATAATAATAATAATAATGTTGGAAGGGACCTTGGAGGTCATCTAGTCCAACCCCCTGCTCAGGCAGGAAACCCTATACCTTTCAGACAAATGGCTGTCCAGTCTCTTCATAAAAACCTCCAGTATTGGAGCATTCACTGCTTCTGGAGGCAGGTTGTTCCACTGGTTAATTGTTCTCACTGTCAGGAAGTTTCTCCTTAGTTCTAGGTTGCTTCTCTCCTTGGTTAGTTTCCATCCCAAAGCGACAAGGTAAAAACATGAAAAGAATAAAAGAATAAATACCGAGATTAAAATGCTTAGAAATCACTATACAGAATGCGGCGTGGTTTTTGCATAGGTTTTGCTTTAGAAACTAAAAAGAGAATACTGAAAGCAATAAAACAGGGAAGGAAACATTTCCCATAATGCCAGACCACCACCCCCCCCCAAATAAAAAAAATATTTCCCATTGGAAATCTGTAGGATTGTTCTAAAAAGGTAACTTGTTTCCTTTCTCTCTTTTTCATTCATTTTCTTTCTCTTTCTTTCTTTCTCTTTCTTTCTTTCTTTCTTTCTTTCTTTCTTTCTTTCTTTCTTTCTTTCTTTCTTATTTCCTTCCTCTGCTTTCCCTCATTTCTCCCTTTCTCTTTCTTTCTTTCTCTCTTTTTCTTTCTTTCTCTTTCTTTCTTTCGTTCTTTCCTTCCTTCCTTCCTCTGCTTTCCCTCATTTCTCCCTTTCTCCCTTTCTCTCTCTCTTTCTTTTTTCTTTCTTTCTTTCTCTCTCTCTCTTTCCCTTCCTTCCTTCCTTCCTTCCTTCCTTCCTTCCTTCCTTCCTTTCTTTCTCTTTTATCTCCGTATATCAACTGGATTTCATTGATTCTGCTCAGAAGTGATTTTCCCCACACTAGCTTTCCCCCTCTCCGAGGGGGGGGTGTCACTCAATAATAAGGTGGCACTCTAAATATGGTCAGAGGCTTGACTACTGTGTGGTTCAACGCATTGGGAGGATCCTGGCTCGGACAGCCAGACCCCGCATTCTTCACAAACACAATAATTATTATGCTTAAATGGGCTGCGTGAATTCAGCCAGTTGCTTGCAATGCTAGTTAACCTAGCTGGGGTATCTGCATTGATCTTTCTAGGATTGTAACTCAACTAGGAAGGTTATCTTACTTTGCTACCCTCTAGGGGGCAGCATCTCACCAGCCTTAGCTGACTTTGAGCTGCCAAAGAGGTCAGGGCTGGCTAGTCCTGGGATGGGAGGCCACCAGGAAATCTCAGCATTGCACTGTAAATGTAGAATTACTACTATTTCTTTAGCGATCATTTAAAGTTACAGTGGGTGTGAAAAATGTGACAACTGTTGCAAGGTTCCACGGTAATTTCATATATACATTTACTAAAATGTATATATGTATATATTCTCTAGAAAGAGTACAGAGAAGAGCAACAAAGATGATCAGGGGACGGGAGGCTAAAACATATAAGGAATGGTTGCTGGAACTGGGTATGTCTGGTTTAATGAAGAGAAGGACGAGGGGGGACATGATAGCAGCCTTCCAGTATCTCAGGGACTGCCCCAAAGAAGAGGGAGTCAAGCTATTCTCCAAAGCGCCAGAAGGCAGGACAAGAAGCAACGGATGGAAACTAATCAAGGAGAGAAGCAACCTAGAACTAAGGAGAAACTTCCTGACAGTGAGAACAATTAACCAGTGGAACAACCTGCCTCCAGAAGCTGTGAATGCTCCAACACTGGAAGTTTTTAAGAAGAGACTGGACAGCCACTTGTCTGAAATGGTATAGGCCAGGGTTTCCTGCCTGAGCAGGGGGTTGGACTAGATGACCTCCAAGGTACCTTCCAACTTAATAATAACAAAAATAACAATAACAACTATTATTATTATTATCAATCATCGCACAGTCAGCCAGATGTTCAGACTGGATTTGGCATTTTGTCTACCTATCGAGTCCTTACCCAGGACCTGGGATAGGCAGATGTAGATGTTTGATGGTATTACAGGTATCGTCGCAGGATGGAAGCAGTTCCTAATAAGGCCGCCTTTTGCAATTGACTAATAGCGAATTTGTCAATGCCAATGGTGTTCAAGTGGTGCTCCAGTTGTTTTGGGATTGCGCCCAAGGAGCCTATGACTATTGGTACTACCCTTGCTTGCTTTTGCCACAGTCTTTCTATTTCTATTTGTAGGTCTTTGTATTTTGTTATCTTCTCCAGTTCTTTCTCTTCTATTCTGCTGTCTCCAGGCACTGCCACGTCCACTATCCAGACTTTTTTGTCTTTCTTATCGACAATTGTTAAGTCTGGGGTGTTATGTTGCAGGTGCTTGTCTGTTTGAATTCTGAAGTCCCAGAGCAGTTTAATTTTATCATTTTCTATGACTTTCTCTATTTTATGATCCCACCAGTTTTTGCTTACAGGCAAATGATATTTTTTGCAGATCTTCCAATGCACCATTGTTGCTACTTTGTCATGCCGCTGCTTGTAATCAGTTTGTGCAATCTTCTTGCAACAGCTTACCAAGTGGTCCACTGTTTCTTCAGCTTCTTTGCATAGGCGGCACTTATTATATTATATTATTATTATTATTATTATTATTATTATTATTATTATTATTATTATTATTATTCGCACAGTCAGCCAGATGTTCAGACTGGATTTGGCATTTTGTCTACCTATCGAGTCCTTACCCAGGACCTGGGATAGGCAGATGTGGAAGTTTGATGGTATTACAGATATCATCGCAGGATGGAATTATTATTATTATTATTATTATTATTATTATTATTATTATTATTATTATTATTATTATTATTATTATTACTTTATAAAAATAAACCCTTCCTTTTTTCGGAGCCCAAACACCCCGCAGGTGGCCGGCAGTTGGAGGGACCCGCAAGATCCTGATTAACCCCTCCAGTGGAAGAGAAACCCGAGTCACCTCCCCGTGACCCAGGGTTGTGGGAACCCGGCCGTACCTGGATGGTCTTCATGAGACTTTCAACTTTACTCTCGTCCAGGACCGGCGGGATGGGTCTGATGATGACCCGCATGGGCACTTCGTGGACCTCGGAGACGTTGTCGGAATGGATGCTCCCGCTGCCTTCGCTTTGCATGGCGACCCAGCGCCGGCCCCGATCACCGCGTGGTGCTCTTTCCCGATACCTGCACGCCGCTCGCGCCGCGCCTAACATCCTCGGAGGTTCCCAACACGCGTATTAAACCCAGCTGGGAAGTTTGGGTGGAGCGTACCACTCCAGCTGGCCGCGGGGGGCGAGACTGATGAGTATCCCCGAGTGTTTTCCCCAGCGCCTCCCCGGACCCCGTTTCCACGTTCAGTGCGGGGACCCCGACCCAGATCGAGCCCGGAGCGCCGCGATTGGAGCCGGCAGGCTGGAAGACGCCGGCGGGTTGACTCCCCCACCGTCCTCCCCCTCCAGTCCCCTGCCTTCCGAATGGAAGGAGCCGTTGTTGAGTCACACGCGCACGTGTGCAACGTCTTTGCTGGGTTGGGCTTCCCCGGGCTTGTTTCGCTGAGTCAGGAGGAGGCAGCAGAAAAAGGGGGCGGCTGGAGCGGGACGCTGTTGGCGATCCTGGGGGCGGGGGGGGGTGTTTGTATTGTTTTAATACGTTGTTATAAACTGCCAAGCCACTGAAGGAAGAAAGAAAGAAAGAAAGAAAGAAAGAAAGAAAGAAAGAAAGAAAGAAAGAAAGAAAGAAAGAAAGAAAGAAAGAAAGAAAGAAAGAAAGAGGAAGGAAGGAGAGAAAGAAAGAAAAGAAAGACAAGGAAAGGAAGGAAGGAAAAAGAAAGAAAGAAGACGGAAGAAAGGGAGGGAGAGGGAATCAGAAAGAATGAAAAGAAAGGGGAGGGAGGAACAGAAGGAAGGAAGGAGAGACAACGAGAAGAAAGAAGACAAGGGAAAGAAAGGGAAGGAGGGAGGGAGAGGGAGAGAAAAAGGAACAAAAGGAAACGAGGGAGGAACAGAAGGAAAGAAGGTAGAGAGAAAGAAACAATGAGAAGTTCTAGTCCCACCTTAGGCCTGGAAGCCAGCTGGGTGTCTTTGGGCCAATCACCAGGAGATGGTGAGTTCTAGTCCCACCTTAGGCACCTGCCTCCAGAAGTTAAAGTTGCTCCATCAATGGAGATTTTCAAGAGTTCCATTTGTCCAGAATGGTACAGAGCAGGGGTAGGCAACCTTTGCTCTTTTATGACTCGTGGACTTCAACTCCCAGAATTCCTGAGCCAGCAGGGGGGAACTATGGACCCCTCATGACTCGTGGACTTCAATTCCCAGAATTCCTGAGTTAGCATGGGGGAACTATGGTCCCCTCATGACTTATGGACTTCAACTCCCAGAATCCCTCAGCCAGCGTGGGGGAACTATGGCCCCCTCATGACTCATGGACTTCAACTCCCAGAATTCCTGAGCCAGCATTTGGGAACTATGGCCCCCTCATGACTGGTGGACTTCAACTCCCAGAATTCCTGAGCCAGCATGGGGGAACTATGACCCTTCATGACTGGTGGACTTCAATTCCCAGAATTCCTGAGCCAGCATGGGGGAACTCTGGCCCCCTCATGACTTGTGGACTTCAACTCCCAGAATTCCTGAGCCAGCATGGGGGAACTATGGCTCCCTCATGACTCGTGGACTTCAACTCCCAGAATTCCTGAGCTAGCCATACTGAGATTTCCATGCTGAGCTGTGCTGGCTGAGGAATTCTGGGAGTTGAAGTCCACCAGATGTCAGAATCCAATTATATTTCATCTTTAAATTATCAAATATAGAAACTCCCAATTCTGCCTTCTCTGGATTCTGCCATAAGAGGGAGAGAAGGGGGAGAGCAAAGGGGCTTTATGGCCCTCACTTCCTTCTTTACACTTCAAAGAGCTGAATGTGTGTTTATTGTAACCTCTAAGCGTTAACATATCAAAGAAGGGTAATTGCCTTTCATGTAGTATCTGAAGTCTCCATCCAGACGGAAGAAAGAAGAAAGGAGGTGGAATTGTGATACTTGAAACTATCACTGGAAGGGGGGTTGATTGGGTGGGACTACTGGGGAACCCCTTAAAACCTTGAATGGGAGAGCTTGGACCCCAAGTCCTGTCTAGCATGCCTGCAACCATTTTCTCTTAATAAAGGATTCCTGTTGGAAGAACTATTCCAAGAGTTCTGTCTTCTTAAGATGCAAAGTGGGGTGGGTCCTTACATTAGACAGGACTTGCAAAATTAATCCACCTGGAAGGTAGACCCTTGCCGGGGGATTTTGCAAAAATTTACCATGTCAGACAACGAAGCAAGAGAGGGAGAAAACTCCCTGGAAAGAGAGCCGCTGACCCAGTTGGAACCTTGCCAGATGTTGGGATCCGAGAGGCCAGATTTCTCAGAAGAAGAAGTGGTGGAGACACAGGACCACAAGCCTCGCTGGTCGATGGGCGTTGGAAAGAAAAGCGAGTGGGGAAAGGAATCAAGAAAAGTGACCCTGAGACGGGGGACCAAGCAACCAGAATGGAAGCAGGAGATGGAGAAATCCCTGCACGCAAGTGAAGAGGGAGGAAGCTGTATGCCGTACTCAGACTGGATCCTAGAGAGAGCTATTGACCTGATGAAGAGAACTCTCAGCTCCCTAGGAGAGGAGATTCCTGAGCCCTACGCCCGCCCCAGTTCCTGGAGCCACAAAGGGAGAGACACCGAGGGGGACGTGGAACCTGCAACCCCAGGGACATTTACTGATCCAGGAGCTCCCACCCCCTACCGGACCACAGATGGAAATCTGGACGGAAGACACTACCACCCACAATGGAGGCACCGATCCATTCCAAGACGTCCACCGTTGGAGGTGAAATTCAAAGGGGAGCCAACACGCTTGGGGTTTTTCCTAACCCAAGTCCTCAGCTACATGGAGGAATATGGGCAGGACATCCCCAGCGACAAAGCCCGCATCCGGATCGTGCAATCTGCCCTGGATGGACCAGCTGCAGATTGGGTGGTGAACCTGCATGACTCCAATGCCCCAGAACTCAGTAACTTCAACCGTTTCATGTCCTCGTTGAGAAGACGATTTGAAGACCCCCTGGCTGATCGCAAAGCCCGTGAAAGAATAACAACGATGAGGCAGGGCAAACGCCCAGTGGCTGAGTATACACAAGAATTCCGAGCCATTGCCAGCAAACTGAATTGGCCAGAAGACATCCTCCTTGGCCGTTTCAAAGACGGACTAAACTATGATCTATATGATGCTTGCCTGCCCCGAGGAGACCCACATCGACTTGAGGAATGGTACGTCTTGGCAGAGGAAGCAGAGATCGACATATTGAAGAGGCATCGCCGAGGAAAACAATGGAGCCGCCCCCCGCCTGAGCTGACACACCAACCGGTGAAATCATCGGATACAGCCAAGAAGCAGATGGGGTGTTTCAAGTGCGGAAGAGAAGGGCATCGAGCTGTAGAATGCCGCTCAAAGGCCCCCCAGCACAACCCAGACAGATCCCCAATCAACAAACCCAGAGGGTATTCAGCTAAGCCAAAAGAAACAGCCATGAAAATGATGGAAATTGCAGAAACCCCCACCTCTGCTCACCAAGGGGAAAGAACTCCAGCCTACACCACAGGGACGGTGGATGCCTCAGATGACAGCTCGGAAGGCGAACCCCTGGTAAGTGGACGCATCACACCCATCTTCAAAACAGTGACTATATTAATCCCCCCCATGCCCGAAGCTGTGAAGGTGAAAGCCTTAATAGACTCTGGCTGCACCCGCTGCCTCATTAGCCCAACACTAGTGGGGAATCTGGGCATCCCATCCAGGAGACTGGAACAACCAATCTCATTTGGCCAGCTAGATGGATCCATAGCAGGGGGGGTGCCAGCTACCCTAGCCACTTTGCCAATACATCTCTCCCTGGGCAACCATGAAGAGGACTTAACGTTTGTGGTGACCCCAGGTATGGAATGCCCAATGATTCTAGGGATGGAATGGTTGAAAAAATGGAACCCCTGGGTAAATTGGAGGACGACAGAAATCAAATTCCCGAAGGGGGACCCTATGGACTTAAAACCCCAAGAGAGGCTACCAGAATCAAGAATAGAAAAAGCATCCATAGGAGAGGAAAAAAGATTAACAGAAATACCAGAGGAATATAGGGACCTTGCTGAAGTCTTCAGTGAGGAGAGGGCGAATGAGCTTCCCCCCCACCGACCCACAGACTGTACCATTGAATTCAAGCCTGGGGCAAAACTCCCGAAGCCCAGATTATACTCCATGAGCCCAAAGGAGAAGGAGGAAATGGAAAGATTTATAAAAAAAAACCTGGAGAGAGGTTTCATTGAGCCAGCCAAGCCTAAAGTGGCTGCCCCGGTCCTTTTTAGAGAGAAGAAGGATGGCTCTTTACGTTTATGCGTGGATTATAGGGCCCTGAATACAATCAGTGAAAGCAACCTATACCCGCTGCCCCTCATGAAAGACATGCTGTCACACCTATCGAAAGGGAAAATTTTTTCTAAACTAGACTTAAGGGAAGCTTACTATCGAGTGAGAATCAAGGAAGGGGACGAATGGAAGACTGCATTTAACTGCCCCATGGGGTGCTATCAATTCAAAGTCTTGCCATTTGGATTACAAGGGGGCCCTGCAGTCTTTATGCAACTAATCAATGACGTTCTAAGGGAGCACCTGTTTAAGGGGGTCCTTGTTTACTTGGACGACATTCTTATCTTTACCGAAACAAAAGAAGAACACGTCAAACTTGTCAGAGCGGTTTTAAAGAAGCTGCGAGCCGCTCACCTATATGCCAAACTCTCAAAATGCGAATTCCACCAGGAAAGGATAGACTACCTAGGCTATCGCATATCCCCACAGGGCATTGAAATGGACCCAGAGAAGGTCAGAGCAGTATTAGAATGGGCACCACCCCGCACAAGAAAGCAACTACAAAGTTTCCTGGGCTTTGCAAATTTTTACCGCCAATTCATCCCCTCATTTGCACAGATAGCCTTGCCCCTCACTAACTTACTAAAAACGAAGGGAACATCCTCAGTAAAACCTAGCCAGCCACTAACATGGACAATGGAGTGCCAAGCAGCGTTTGAGAGACTAAAGAGACTTTTTTCTGCCGAACCAGTACTAAGGCACCCAGACATGGACAAACCCTTCATAATACAGGCAGATGCAAGTGATGTGGCAGTGGGGGCTGTGCTATTACAAGAAAATGATGATGCAGTATTGCAACCCTGTGCATATACATCCAAGAAACTCACGGAAACAGAACAGCGCTGGCCTGTATGGGAGAAGGAGGCTTATGGGATACGTTGGGCATTACTCACATGGCGACAGTTCCTGGAAGGCAACAAAATCCCCTTCCAGGTGTGGACTGATCACAAAAATTTGGAAGCCCTGAAAACTTCCAGGAAACTCAATCCCAAACAAGCCCGCTGGTCC